GCCCGAACGGCCGGGGGAGGCGCCGGCTCGGCCACGGCTCGCGGTGCCACGCTGAGCGTAAGGCAAACAGAATTTAGGTTTCAACGTAATTTATGGCTCATATCACCAAACTTGCATGTTACATTCCGCTTGCTCAAAATCCTTAATTTCAAACGCTGAAAAAAATAGCGCAACGTATGGCCATAACATCACTGATATTTTTTAGGCAGGTACCATTTTGAGGCAGAGAAAGTGAAGCAAAAGAAAGGAGATAAGACAAATATGTAATTAATTGGACTAAATGTAAATTTGCCGAGAACCGAGAGAGACGGCGTGTGCCCGTGTGACAGCGCAGCTCCAGCGCGGTCCCCCCTCCACCTCTTCCAGGCTCCCACGCATCCCCCTTGCCAACCCAAGCCACTAATGGGGTTTCTGGGATGCTCTTTAACAGAAAAACGCCAAGTGCTCTGGCATTTAAAAAGAAATGATTAAAAAAAAAATCACTGTGAACCTCAGTGTGCGTTTAGAACAGGAGCAGAATTTTTTTTTTGGGGGAAAAAAGTGGTTACAGCCCTGCAAAGACAGAGAGGAAGGCTGAGCTTCCCGAGCAGCCGCTGGGCGACGTTTCCCATAGGACCCAGCGCGGAGGCATCCCACCGCCACCGACGCCTCCTCCCCTGGGTTCTCGCTCTCGTGCGCCGAATTTTTCTCCCTTTGTACCTCTGCTTATACCGCATGACTGTTTTGAATCTCTAAAATAATGTGACAAGTTAATGATGGCACAATTATCTAAATGTTTAACAGACATGTTATCTAAGTGAATCGGATTGAGATTCCATCCCGCTGACAATAAACATCAATGGGAGAGCAGAAAGTGATAGGCAAATTATCGCCAACCCTGCAATTTCAATGCTATTAAATTTGGAGGAATAACAGCCCTGAGGCCTGTAAACTCTGAATAAAATAGACCCTTGTGTTTGGCCAACTATTAAATCAAAACGCTACCAACATCCCAGGAAAACAAAAAAAAAAAAAAAAAAAAA